CGCTGTGTCTACTGCTGACTGCTTGTAGAAGTAGTGTATAGTGTATAGTAGTGTATATTATAGTGTATAGTGTATAGTAGTGTATATTATAGTGTATATTATAGTGTATAGTGTATAGTAGTATATTATAGTGTATATTATAGTGTATAGTGTAGTGTATAGTAGTATATTATAGTGTATATTATAGTGTATAGTGTAGTGTATAGTAGTATATTATAGTGTATATTATAGTAGTGTATAGTGTATAGTAGTATATTATAGTGTATATTATAGTGTAGTGTATAGTAGTATATTATAGTGTATATTATAGTGTATATTATAGTAGTGTATAGTGTATAGTAGTATATTATAGTGTATATTATAGTAGTGTAGTAGTATATAGTAGTATATTATAGTGTATATTATAGTGTATAGTGTATAGTAGTGTATATTATAGTGTATATTATAGTGTATAGTGTATAGTAGTATATTATAGTGTATATTATAGTGTATAGTGTAGTGTATAGTAGTATATTATAGTGTATATTATAGTGTATAGTGTAGTGTATAGTAGTATATTATAGTGTATATTATAGTAGTGTATAGTGTATAGTAGTATATTATAGTGTATATTATAGTGTAGTGTATAGTAGTATATTATAGTGTATATTATAGTGTATATTATAGTAGTGTATAGTGTATAGTAGTATATTATAGTGTATATTATAGTAGTGTAGTAGTATATAGTAGTATATTATAGTGTATATTATAGTGTATAGTGTATAGTAGTATATAGTGTATATTATAGTAGTGTATAGTAGTATATAGTGTATATTATATTAGTGTATAGTGTATAGTAGTATATTATAGTGTATATTATAGTAGTGTATAGTAGTATATTATAGTGTATATTATAGTAGTATATAGTAGTATATTATAGTGTATATTATAGTAGTGTATAGTAGTATATTATAGTGTATATTATAGCAGTGTAGTAGTATATAGTAGTATATTATAGTGTATATTATAGTAGTGTAGTAGTATATAGTAGTATATTATAGTAGTGTATATTATAGTGTATATTATAGTGTATATTATAGTAGTGTATAGTGTATACTATAGCAGTGTATAGTAGTATATAGTAGTATATTATAGTAGTGTATAGTGTATATTATAGTAGTATATAGTGTATATTATAGTAGTGTATAGTGTATCACCTTGTATCTCGCTGTGTCTACTGCTGATTGTTTGTAGAAGTAGTGTATAGTGTATAGTAGTGTATAGTAGTATATTATAGTGTATATTATAGTAGTGTATAGTGTAGTGTATAGTAGTATATTATAGTGTATATTATAGTAGTGTATAGTAGTATATTATAGTTTATATTATAGTAGTGTAGTAGTATATAGTAGTATATTATAGTGTATATTATAGTAGTGTATAGTGTATAGTAGTATATTATAGTGTATAGTGTATAGTAGTATATAGTAGTATATTATAGTGTATATTATAGTGTATATTATAATAGTGTATAGTAGTATATTGTAGTGTATATTATAGTAGTGTATAGTAGTATATAGTAGTATATTGTAGTGTATATTATAGTAGTGTATAGTGTATAGTAGTATATTATAGTGTATAGTAGTATATAGTGTATATTATAGTAGTGTATAGTGTATCACCTTGTATCTCGCTGTGTCCACTGCTGATTGCTTGTAGAAGTAGTGTATAGTGTATAGTAGTGTATATTATAGTGTATAGTAGTGTATATTATAGTAGTGTAGTAGTATATTATAGTGTATATTATAGTAGTGTATAGTAGTATATTATAGTAGTGTATAGTGTATAGTAGTATATTATAGTGTATATTATAGTAGTGTATATTATAGTGTATAGTAGTGTATAGTGTATCACCTTGTATCTCGCTGTGTCTACTGCTGATTGTTTGTAGAAGTAGTGTATAGTGTATAGTAGTGTATAGTAGTATATTATAGTGTATATTATAGTAGTGTATAGTAGTATATAGTAGTGTATAGTATATTATAGTGTATAGTGTATAGTAGTATATTATAGTGTATAGTAGTGTATAGTGTATACTATAGTAGTGTATAGTGTATATTATAGTGTATAGTAGTGTATAGTGTATACTATAGTAGTGTATAGTGTATCACCTTGTATCTCGCTGTGTCTACTGCTGATTGTTTGTAGAAGTAGTGTATAGTGTATAGTAGTGTATAGTAGTATATTATAGTAGTGTATAGTGCATAGTAGTGTATAGTGTATCACCTTGTATCTCGCTGTGTCTACTGCTGATTGTTTGTAGAAGTAGTGTATAGTGTATAGTAGTGTATAGTGTATATTATAGTAGTGTATAGTGTATAGTAGTGTATAGTGTATACTATAGTAGTGTATAGTGTATATTATAGTGTATATTATAGTGTATATTATAGTAGTGTATAGTGTATCACCTTGTATCTCGCTGTGTCTACTGCTGACTGTTTGTAGTGTATATTATAGTAGTGTATAGTGTATCACCTTGTATCTCGCTGTGTCTACTGCTGATTGTTTGTAGAAGTAGTATATAGTAGTATATTATAGTGTATATTATAGTGTATAGTGTATAGTAGTATATTATAGTGTATATTATAGTAGTGTATAGTGTATAGTAGTATATTATAGTGTATATTATAGTAGTGTATAGTGTATAGTAGTATATTATAGTAGTGTATATTATAGTAGTGTATAGTGTATCACCTTGTATCTCGCTGTGTCTACTGCTGATTGCTTGTAGAAGTAGTGTATAGTGTATAGTAGTGTATAGTGTATATTATAGTAGTGTATAGTGTATAGTAGTGTATAGTGTATATTATAGTAGTATATAGTGTATACTATAGTAGTGTATAGTGTATAGTAGTATATTATAGTAGTGTATATTATAGTAGTGTATAGTGTATAGTAGTGTATAGTGTATCACCTTGTATCTCGCTGTGTCTACTGCTGATTGTTTGTAGAAGTAGTGTATAGTGTATAGTAGTGTATAGTGTATATTATAGTAGTGTATAGTGTATAGTAGTGTATAGTGTATACTATAGTAGTGTATAGTGTATATTATAGTGTATATTATAGTGTATATTATAGTAGTGTATAGTGTATCACCTTGTATCTCGCTGTGTCTACTGCTGACTGTTTGTAGTGTATATTATAGTAGTGTATAGTGTATCACCTTGTATCTCGCTGTGTCTACTGCTGATTGTTTGTAGAAGTAGTATATAGTAGTATATTATAGTGTATATTATAGTGTATAGTGTATAGTAGTATATTATAGTGTATATTATAGTAGTGTATAGTGTATAGTAGTATATTATAGTGTATATTATAGTAGTGTATAGTGTATAGTAGTATATTATAGTAGTGTATATTATAGTAGTGTATAGTGTATCACCTTGTATCTCGCTGTGTCTACTGCTGATTGCTTGTAGAAGTAGTGTATAGTGTATAGTAGTGTATAGTGTATATTATAGTAGTGTATAGTGTATAGTAGTGTATAGTGTATCACCTTGTATCTCGCTGTGTCTACTGCTGATTGCTTGTAGAAGTAGGTCACCGCTTTGGCCCGCTCCTTGATCGCCTCGTGCTGAGATTGTGACGACGACGACGCCGCCGATTGGTGGAGGCGGTGGCGGGGGGAGGAGCCCGGCGGCTCCGTGGGCGGGGCCAGCAACGAGCTCCGCCCCGCCCCCCACGCGGCCCCGCCCCTCCCCGGCCAGACCGGGCGAGTCACGTGACGTAAAGATGACGTCATAGCGTCACCCACCCCCTAATTCAATTAGCCTAAAGTTGTTAATGTTAAATAGTTTATAGATTACAGATTAGTATTAAATAGTTTATAGATGATTATTTAATAGTTTATAGATTGCTATTAAATAGTTTATAGATGATTACAGATGATTATTTAATAGTTTATAGATTGCTATTAAATAGTTTATAGATTACAGATTAGTATTAAAGTTTATAGATTATTTAATAGCTTATAGATTGCTATTAGTTTATGGATAATAGATATTAAATAGTTCATAGATTACTCGAGAATAGTTTATAGATTATAAACTGTTATCAAATAGCTGAGATTACAGATTAGTTTTAAATAGTTTATAAGATTAGATATAATATTAAATAGTTAATAGACTATTATTAAAGAGTTTATAGAAGACAATGACTTTCTAATTATTAAAGTTCATAGATTATTATTAAAGTTAATAGATTAGTAAATAAGTTATCGATTATTGTTGTACGCTAATTGTAACGATGCGAATTTCGTTACATTTATCGCTGCCGCTTGCGCTCCTACGTTACCGGTAACAATAACAAATAATAACAATAACAATGGTAACAATGAATTAATAACAAATTATAACAATGAAATAATAACAATAAAAACAATAAATAACAACAATAGCAATAACAATGAAATAATAACAACAATGTTCATAACAATGATAATTAAATAATAACAATGAAGCTAACAATAACAATGAAATAACAAATATAACAATAACAATTAAATAACAATGAAATAATAACACTTATAACAATGAAATCATAACAAATTATAACAATGAAATAATAACAAATTATAACAATGAAATAATAACAATAACAATGAAAACAATGAAATAACAACAATAGCAATAACAATGAAATAATAACAACAATGTTGATAACAATGATAATTAAATAATACCAATGAAGCTAACAATGATAACAATGAAATAACAAATATAACAATAACAATTAAACAATAACAATGAAATAATAACAATAACAATAACAATTATAATACCAATGAAATTACAACAAATATAACAATGATAACAATTGAATAATATCAATGATAACAATAACAACAATTAAATAATAACAATGATAACAATGATAACAATTAAATAATATCAATAACAATTAAATAATATCAATGATAACAATAACAATTAAACAATAACAATGATAACAATGAAATAATAAAAATAATAACGATAACAATGATAACAATTCAATGATGATAACAACAATAACAACAACAATGATAACAATTCAATGATGATAACAACAACAATAACAACAACAATAACAACAACAAAACAACAATGATGATGATAATTCCGATGTTGAGTCGCTCCGATTCCTGGGGCTGTCCAGACGCTCCCAGACGGTGGCTCTGTGGAGGGAGGATTACAGAGAGAGATGGTAACTACAGATGGTAACTAGGGGTAACTAAGGGTAACTATAGATGGTAACTACAGATGGTAACTAGGGGTAACTAAGGGTAACTATAGATGGTAACTATTGATGGTAACTAGGGGTAACTAAGGGTAACTATAGATGGTAACTATAGATGGTAACTACAGATGGTAACTACAGATGGTAACTAGGGGTAACTATAGATGGTAACTAGGGGTAACTACAGATGGTAACTAGGGGTAACTACAGATGGTAACTACAGATGGTAACTAGGGGTAACCACAGATGGTAACTAGGGGTAACTATAGATGGTAACTAGGGGTAACCACAGATGGTAACTGGGGGTAACTACAGATGGTAACTAGAGGTAACTATAGATGGTAACTACAGATGATAACTAGGGGTAACTATAGAGGGTAACTAGGGGTAACTATAGATGGTAACTACAGATAGTAACTAGGGGTAACTACAGTTGGTAACTAGGGGTAACTACAGAGGGTAACTAGGGGTAACTATAGATGGTAACTAGGGGTAACTATAGATGGTAACTAGGGGTAACCACAGATGGTAACTGGGGGTAACTACAGATGGTAACTAGGGGTAACTACAGATGGTAACTAGGGGTAACTACAGATGGTAACTACAGATGGTAACTAGGGGTAACTACATATGGTAACTACAGATGGTAACTAGAGGTAACTACAGATGGTAACTAGGGGTAACTATAGATGGTAACTAGGGGTAACTAGGGGTAACTATAGATGGTAACTAGGGGTAACCACAGATGGTAACTAGGGGTAACGAGAGATAGAGATAGTTAACGCATAGACGAGAGAGAGAGATAAGAGAGCTAAGAGAGAGACAAGAGAGAGCTAAGAGAGAGCTAAGAGAGATAAGAGAGAGATAAGAGAGAGACAAGAGAGAGCTAAGAGAGAGACAAGAGAGAGACAAGAGAGAGCTAAGAGAGAGCTAAGAGAGAGATAAGAGAGACACAACACAGAGACAAAAGAGAGAGACAAGAGAGAGACAAGAGAGAGATAAGAGAGAGACAAGAGAGAGCTAAGAGAGAGACAAGAGAGAGATAAGAGAGAGACAAGAGAGACAAGAGAGAGACAAGAGAGAGACAAGAGAGAGACAAGAGAGAGATAAGAGAGAGATAAGAGAGAGACAAGAGAGAGACAAGAGAGAGATAAGAGAGAGAGACAAGAGAGAGACAAGAGAGAGATAAGAGAGAGATAAGACAGAGATAAGAGAGAGCTAAGAGAGATAAGAGAGAGACAAGAGAGAGACAAGAGAGAGACAAGAGAGAGACAAGAGAGAGACAAGAGAGAGATAAGAGAGAGACAAGAGAGAGCTAAGAGAGAGATAAGAGAGAGACAAGAGAGAGCTAAGAGAGAGATAAGAGAGAGACAAGAGAGAGCTAAGAGAGAAACAAGAGAGAGACAAGAGAGAGAGATAAGAGAGAGACAAGAGAGAGAGACAAGAGAGAGAGAGAGACAAGAGAGAGATAAGAGAGAGACAAGAGAGAGATAAGAGAGAGATAAGACAGAGATAAGAGAGAGCTAAGAGAGAGACAAGAGAGAGATAAGAGAGAGACAAGAGAGAGACAAGAGAGAGCTAAGAGAGAGATAAGAGAGAGAGAGAGAGACAAGAGAGAGATAAGAGAGAGACAAGAGAGAGATAAGAGAGAGATAAGACAGAGATAAGAGAGAGCTAAGAGAGAGACAAGAGAGAGACAAGAGAGAGCTAAGAGAGAGACAAGAGAGAGACAAGAGAGAGACAAGAGAGAGAGAGACAAGAGAGAGACAAGAGAGAGCTAATAGAGAGATAAGAGAGATAAGAGAGAGAGACAAGAGAGAGATAAGAGAGAGCTAAGAGAGAGATAAGAGAGAGACAAGAGAGATAAGAGAGAGACAAGAGAGATAAGAGAGAGACAAGAGAGAGAGACAAGAGAGAGAGACAAGAGAGAGACACGAGAGAGAGACAAGAGAGAGAGACAAGAGAGAGAGACAAGAGAGAGAGAGACAAGAGAGAGAGAGACAAGAGAGAGAGAGACAAGAGAGAGAGACAAGAGAGAGAGACAAGAGAGAGACAAGAGAGAGACAAGAGAGAGAGACAAGAGAGAGAGACAAGAGAGAGAGACAAGAGAGAGAGACAAGAGAGAGAGACAAGAGAGAGAGAGACAAGAGAGAGAGAGAGACAAGAGAGAGAGACAAGAGAGAGAGAGACAAGAGAGAGAGACAAGAGAGAGACAAGAGAGAGACACAAGAGATAGACAAGAGAGAGAGACAAGAGAGAGAGACAAGAGAGAGAGAGACAAGAGAGAGAGAGAGACAAGAGAGAGAGACAAGAGAGAGAGACAAGAGAGAGAGAGACAAGAGAGAGAGAGACAAGAGAGAGAGAGACAAGAGAGAGAGAGACAAGAGAGAGACAAGAGAGAGAAAAGAGAGATGAGAGAGAGGTAAGAGAGAGATAAGAGAGAGACAAGAGAGAGACAAGAGAGAGACAAGAGAGAGAGACAAGAGAGAGACAAGAGAGAGACACAAGAGAGAGAGACAAGAGAGAGAGACAAGAGAGAGAGACAAGAGAGAGAGAGACAAGAGAGAGAGAGACAAGAGAGAGACAGACAAAAGAGAGACAAGAGAGAGAGAGACAAGAGAGAGAGACAAGAGAGAGATAAGAGAGAGTTCACGTACGCGTCCTAGGCCTAGCGTGTGGAAGCTACCACCACTACCACCCCTAGTGCGCATGCGCGGGCGGCGGGCTTGGGGGCGGGGCGGGCGGGGAAGCAACCGCGGTTCCGGTGCCAGATGAGAGGGAATTTTTACCTCCAGATCCCGAGGACTCGCTCACTGGCGTGGGGGGGAGGGGTGTGGGGGGGGTGAGAGGGGAGGGAGTGGGAGGGGTGGGGGAGTGAGGGGAGGGGGTGGGAGGGGTGGGGTGAGAGGGGAGGGAGGGGGGAGGGAGGGGGGAGGGTGGGGGGAGGGGGGTGGGAGAGGGGTTAGAGGGGAGGGGTGGGAGGGGTGAGAGGGGAGGGGTGAGAGGGGAGGGGTGAGAGGGGTGGGGGAGTGAGGGGAGGGGGTGGGAGGGGTGGGGGTGAGAGGGGAGGGGTGAGAGAGGAGGGGGGAGGGGTGAGAGGGGAGGGGGGTGGTGGCGGAATCCGAAGAGCTGTGAAGCTCTTTGACACAGATGTTCTCGTAAGGGTCTCTATGTATCTCTGTAGGTCTCTATGAGTATGGGTCTCTATGAGTATGGTTCTCTATGGGTCTCTGTGGGTCTCTATGAGTCTCTGTAGGTCTCTATGAGTGTGGGTCTCTATGAGTCTCTGTGGGTCTCTGTGAGTGTGGGTCTCTATGAGTCTCTGTAGGTCTCTATGAGTGTGGGTCTCTGTGGGTCTCTGTGTGCTGTATTTCTTTCACACCGTACGTAGCCACCCGTGCTAAACGGTCCAGGGCCTCCCCTAGGTCGACTCAGCCTCAAATTAGTTACCTGGTGGAGCGGTGTGTAGTGAACATCGCCACAGGGTGGAGAGACAAAGGCGGCCGGGCTAACAGCACTTGCCCCTACAGCCTGTCAAGGCTATACGGGGGATCTTTGTCTTTGTGTGTGCAGTTCGCTAACAGCACTTGCCCCTACATCCTGCCAAAGGCTATACGGGAGATCTTTGTCTTTGTGTGTGCAGTTCGCCAACAGCACTTGCCCCTACAGCCTGTCAAGGCTATACGGGGGATCTTTGTCTTTGTGTGTGCTGTTCGCTAACAGCACTTGCCCCTACATCCTGCCAAAGGCTATACGGGGGATCTTTGTCTTTGTGTGTGCAGTTCGCGAACAGCACTTGCCCCTACATCCTGTCAAGGCTATACGGGAGATCTTTGTCTTTGTGTGTGCAGTTCGCTAACAGCACTTGCCCCTACAGCCTGCCAAAGCTATACGGGGGATCTTTGTCTTTGTGTGTGCAGTTCGCGAACAGCACTTGCCCCTACATCCTGTCAAGGCTATTCGGGGGATCTTTGTCTTTGTGTGTGCAGTTCGCGAACAGCACTTGCCCCTACAGCCTGTCAAGGCTATACGGGGGCTCTTTGTCTTTGTGTGTGCAGTTCGCGAACAGCACTTGCCCCTACAGCCTGTCAAGGCTATACGGGGGATCTTTGTTTGTGTCTGTATGTACGTGTATAAGGGTGTGGAGGCAGTCGCCCTCCAACAGCAACGGAGGGCGGAGGAGCGACGCTCACAACAACGAGCGGAGCGCCGGGTGGCTAAAGCACAGCAGGTTGGCACAGTAAGGGGCACAGGTGGTGCATCAGCCAGCAGTCATCTCAGTCAGTCGACCCGTGGCACCTGCTGGGTCTGCTGCCCCGTGACCTCCTGCCAGCGGGCGTTCGACACTTCACGTGGCCTCAAGGTGCACGTGGCCTGGCACAAGCGTCGTGGTGACGTCACCGCCAATGAGTGGCGAATGGTTGTTGTTGTTGTTGGTTATCGTGAGGAGCTGTGTGTCTGTGTGATTTATATGCGAGTGACGAGTTTATGTAGAAGTGCGTGCGAATTTGTGAGTTATCGTACGAGTGATTGTATGAGTGTATGATGAGTGTATGAGTGATTGTATGAGTGTATGATTATGAGTGAATGAGTGTATATGATTATATGAGTGAATGATTGGATGAGTGAATGATTGCATGAGTGTGTGTATGAGTGATTGTATGAGTGAATGATTGTCGGAGTGATTGTATGAATGAGTGTGATTACGAGTGTATGATTATATGAGTGAATGTGAGTGTATGAGTGAATGATTGTATGATTGTACGAGTGTATGAGTGACTGTATGAGTGATTTATGTGTATGATTGTGTATGAGTGAGTGAATGCATGAGTGTATGAGTGATTGCATAAGTGTGAATATGAGTATATGAGTGTATCAGTGAGTGTATGAGTGAATGAGTGATTGCGTGAGTGAATGAGTGTATGCGTGATTGTATGTGTATGAGTGATTGTACGTGTATGTACACAGAGCACGCTTCAAAAACACGTCACCACTTTACATGGGACTATCGTTTTTAATGGAAAAAGGAAATCAAACACGGCAACGTGATGACACATGTACGCTTACAGTTTCGGAAGGTCAAAGAGTCCATCTCACTTGCTCACCACCCTAGTCTCGAATCCTCTAAACGTGTCCTCCTCCGAGTCTGGAGGCGGCTTATCCCTTGTGGTGGCGTTGCAAACTCTCGCAAGTGTTTGTACGCGTGTGTGAGTACGTGTGTGAGTACATGTGTGACCGTGAGTACGTGTCAGTGAGTACGTGTGTACGTGTGTGAACGTGTACGTGCGCGTGAGTGCGTGTTTGAGTACGTGTGTGTGAGTACGCGAGTACGTGTTTGAGCACGTGTTTGTGTGTGAGTACGTGTTTTTATTGAGTGGGGAGCGGTCGTGTAGCGGTTAGCGCTACGCTGCGCTATGAACCTGGCGACCCGGGTTCGATTCCCGCTCACGGCCAACACCAGTGACGATTATCTGAACCGGTCCCGGGCCTCCCCTAGGTCGACTCGGCCTCAAATGAGTACCTGGTGCGGTGTGTAGTAAACATCGCCACTGGGGAGACAAAGGCGGTCGGGCGTGGTGCTGGCCACCCACCCCCTCGTGTGCCGTTCCGGCCTTCATAGGTGCTCGCTAACAGCACTTGCCCCTACAGTCTGTTACAGGCTATATGGGGGATCTTTGTACATGTTTGTGAGTACGTGTGTGAGTACGTGTTTGTGCGTACGTGTGTGTATGTGTGAGTACGTGTTGAACCAGGCTGGATTGTGTGAGGAGCTCACAAATCCTCGAAAGATCTGGGCAAGGTCCCATCGGTGAGCTCCTCCGGCAGGCAAGGCTGCGATGGCTGGGTGATGTAGCCCGCATGCCCAGCCACCGCATGCCGAAACAGCTTTTGTTTGGCCGGATTGAGGGGGCTAAGCGGGCGCGGCACGGGCTAGAGAAGAGATGGAGTGATGTGGTACAGGAGGACGTGGAGCTGAGTGGACTTGCCGATGACTGGTACCAGCGGTGTCAAGATCGGCCTCTGTGGAGGAGGCTCGTGAAGGACGCTACTGGGCAGTTGGAGGTAGTCGCCCTCCAACAACAACGGAGGGCGGAGGAGCGACGCTCACAACAACGAGCGGAGCGCCGGGTGGCTAAAGCACAGCAGGTTGGCACAGTAGGGGGCACAGGTGGTGCATCAGCCAGTCATCTCAGTCAGTCGACCCGTGGCACCTGCTGGGTCTGCCCCGTGACCTCCTGCCCGCGGGCGTTCGACACTTCAAGTGGTAGCCTCAAGGTGCACATGGCCTGGCACAAGCGTCGTGGTGACGTCACCGCCACTTAGTGGCGAATGGCGGTTGTTGTTGCTGTACGTGTGTGTGTGTCTGTGTACGTGTGTACGTGTACCTGTGTGTGTGAGAGTCTGTGTGTGTACCTGTGTCTGTGTACGTGTGTGTGTACGAGTGACGATCGTGAGGAGCTGGAGGAGTGTCTGTGTGTGTGTACGTGTGTGTTGTATGTGTGTACGTGTGTGTACGTGTGTGTGACTATCGTGAGGAGCTTGAGGAGTGTGAGTGTGTACGTGTGTGTGTGACTATCGTGAGGAGCTTGAGGAGTGTGTGTGTCTGTGTGTACGTGTACCTGTGTGTGTGTGTGTGAGAGTCTGTGTGTGTACCTGTGTCTGTGTACGTGTGTGTGTGTACGTGTGTGTACGTGTACCTGTGTGTGTGTGAGTCTGTGTGTGTACCTGTGTGTGTGTGAGTCTGTGTGTGTACCTGTGTCTGTGTACCTGTGTGTGTGTGAGAGTCTGTGTGTGTACCTGTGTCTGTGTACGTGTGTGTGTGTACGTGTGTGTACGTGTACCTGTGTGTGTGTGAGTCTGTGTACCTGTGTGTGTGTGTGAGTCTGTGTGTGTACCTGTGTCTGTGTATGTGTGTGTGTGTGAGTCTGTGTATGTACGTGTGTGTACGTGTACCTGTGTGTGTGTGAGAGTCTGTGTGTGTACCTGTGTGTGTGTGAGAGAGTCTGTGTGTGTACCTGTATCTGTGTGTGTGAGAGTCTGTGTGTGTACCTGTATCTGTGTGTGTGAGAGTCTGTGTGTGTACCTGTGTCTGTGTGTACGAGTGACTATAGGGAGGAGCTGGAGGCGGGTGTGTCTGTGTGTACGTGTGTGTACGTGTACCTGTGTGTGAGAATCTGTGTACCTGTGTGTGTGTGTGAGAATCTGTGTGTGTACCTGTGTCTGTCTGTGTGTACGTGTGTATATGTGTGTACCTGTGTGTGTGTGTGAGAGTCTGTGTGTGTACCTGTGTCTGTGTGTGTGTGTGACTATAGGGAGGAGCTGGAGGCGTGTGTCTGTGTGTACGTGTGTGTATATGTGTGTACGTGTGTGTGTCTGTGTGTACGTGTGTGTATATGTGTGTACGTGTGTGTCTGTGTGTACGTGTGTGTATATGTGTGTACGTGTGTGTGTCTGTGTGTACGTGTGTGTGTGTCTGTGTGCAGGGGCGGAGCCAGCGCCAGGATTTCAGGCCGGGGTGACATTGAACAAATTTTAATTTCAAGAATGATTTAGAGAGAGAGAGTCAGGCTGCTGAACCAGACGCCATCGGTTGGCGACACGCTCTGACAGTGAAGTTTCACCGAGTCCGAAAGCCCGAGTGTCGTACACTTACACGCAGGATGTCACCCACCCTGTCACCACCCACCCACCCCCCCGGCTCCGCCAATGTCTGTGTGTACGTGTGTCTGTGTGTGTGAGTGTGTACGTACGTGTGTACGTGTGTCTGTGTGTGACTATCGTGAGGAGCTTAAGTGTCTGTGTGTGTGTATGTGTGTACGTGTGTCTGTGTGAGTGTGTACGTGTGTGTGTACGTGTGTACGTGTGTCTGTGTGACTATCGTGAGCTTAAGTGTCTGTGTGTGTGTACGTGTGTATGTGTGTACGTGTGTCTGTGCGTGTGACTATCGTGAGGAGCTTGAGGAGTGTGTGTGTGTACGTGTGTGTGTATGTGTGTACGTGTGTCTGTGTGACTATCGTGAGGAGCTTGAGTGTGTATGTGTGTGTACGTGTGTATGTGCGTGTGACTATCGTGAGGAGCTTGAGTGTCTGTGTGTGTGTGTACGTGTGTGTGTACGTGTGTCTGTGTGTGACTATCGTGAGGAGCTTGAGGAGTGTCTGTGTGTGAGTGTGTACGTGTGTGTGTACGTGTGTACGTGTGTATGTGCGTGTGACTATCGTGAGGAGCTTGAGTGTCTGTGTGTGTGAGTGTGTATGTGTGTACGTGTGTGCGTGCGTGTGACTATCGTGAGGAGCTTGAGGAGTGTCTGTGTGTACGTGTGTACGTGTGTGTGCGTGTGTACTTGTGTACGTGTGTCTGTACGAGTGACTATCGTGAGGAGCTGGAGGAGTGTCTGTGTGTACGTGTGTGTGTGAGTGTGTACGTGTGTGACTATCGTGAGGAGCTTGAGGAGTGTCTGTGTGTGTACGTGTGTCTGTGTGTGTGTATGTGTGTACGTGTGTCTGTACGAGTGACTATCGTGAGGAGCTGGAGGAGTGTCTGTGTGTACGTGTACGCGTGTGTACGTGTACCTGTGTGTGTGTGAGAGTCTGTGTTGTTTACCTGTGTCTGTATACGTGTGTGTGTGTGTGCGTGTGGGTGACTATCGTGAGGAGCTTGAGGAGTGTCTCCGCCGTGCTGGTGAGCGAGAGCGGCGACGCGGAGGTGGGGAGCGGCGACGTGGGGAGCGGGACCTGGAAAACGCGCAGACACACACATACATGGTGTTACACACACATACATGGTGTTACACACACACAGTGTTACACACACAGTGTTACACACACATACATGGTGTTACACACACACACATACACACACACACGGTGTTACACACACACACACGGTGTTACACACACACACACATGGTGTTACACACAGTGTTACACACACATGGTGTTACACACACATACAGTGTTACACACACATACACACACATACACACGGTGTTACACACACATACATGGTGTTACACACACACAGTGTTACACACACAGTGTTACACACACATACATGGTGTTACACACACACACATACACACACACACGGTGTTACACACACACACACGGTGTTACACACACACACACATGGTGTTACACACAGTGTTACACACACATGGTGTTACACACACATACAGTGTTACACACACATACACACACATACACACGGTGTTACACACACATACACACACACACACGGTGTTACACACACACACATACACACGGTGTTACACACACATACACACGGTGTTACACACACATACACACACACACACACGGTGTTACACACACACACATACACACGGTGTTACACACACATACACACGGTGTTACACACACATACACACGGTGTTACACACACATACACACGGTGTTACACACACACGGTGTTACACACACACACACGGTGTTACACACACACACACGGTGTTACACATACATACACACGGTGTTACACACACACATACGGTGTTACACACACACACGGTGTTACACACGCACACGGTGTTACACACGCACACGGTGTTACACACACACACACACGGTGTTACACACACACACACACGGTGTTACACACACACACACACACACGGTGTTACACACACACACACATACACACGGTGTTACACACACATACACACGGTGTTACACACACACACGGTGTTACACACACACGGTGTTACACACACACACACACGGTGTTACACACACATACACACACACATGGTGTTACACACACATACACACGGTGTTACACACACATACACACACACATACACACACGGTGTTACACACACACACGGTGTTACACACACACACACAAGATGTTACACACACACACATACACACACACACGGTGTTACACACACACACACACACAAGATGTTACACACACATACACACACACACACACGGTGTAACACACACATACACAGTGTTACACACACACGGTGTTACACACACATACACACACAGTGTTACACACACACACATACACACACACATGGTGTTACACACACACATACACACACACACGGTGTTACACACACATACACACACATACACACGGTGTTACACACACATACACACGGTGTTACACACATACACACACACATACACACGGTGTTACACAGATACACACATGGTGTTACACACGCATACATACACACACATACACACGGTGTTACACACACATACACACACGGTGTTACACACCCACAGTGTTACACACACACATACACACGGTGTTACACACACATACACACACACTCACACACAGTGTTACACATACACACACACACACATACACACGGTGTTACACACACATACACACACGGTGTTACACACCCACAGTGTTACACACCCACAGTGTTACACACACACATACACACGGTGTTACACACACATACACACACACTCACACACAGTGTTACACATACACACACACACATACACACGGTGTTACACACCCACAGTGTTACACACACATACACACGGTGTTACACACACACACGTACATACACACACGGTGTTACACACCCACAGTGTTACACACACACATACACACGGTGTTACACACACATACACACACACTCACACACAGTGTTACACATACACACACACACACATACACACGGTGTTACACACACATACACACACGGTGTTACACACCCACAGTGTTACACACCCACAGTGTTACACACACACATACACACGGTGTTACACACACATACACACACACTCACACACAGTGTTACACATACACACACACACATACACACGGTGTTACGCACACACAGTGTTACACACACATACACATGGTGTTACACACACACAGTGTTACACACACATGGTCTTACACACACACATACATACACACATTACACATACACACACATACACACGGTGTTACACACACACATGGAGTTACACACCCACAGTGTTACACACACACATACACACGGTGTTACACACACATACATACACACACATACACACGGTATTACACACACATACGTACACACACACATGGTGTTACACACACATACACACACACACACACGTAAACACACAAACACACGGTGTTACTCACACACATACACACACATACATACACACGGTGTTACACACAACAACAACCGCCATTCGCCACTAAGTGGCGGTGACGTCACCACGACGCTTGTGCCAGGCTATGTGCACCCTGAGGCCACGTGAAGTGTCGAACGCCCGCTGGCAGGAGGTCACGGGGCAGACCCAGGTGCCACGGGTTGACTGACTGAGACGACTGGCTGATGCACCACCTGTGCCCCCTACTGTGCCAACCTGCTGTGCTTTAGCCACCCGGCGCTCCGCTCGTTGTTGTGAGCGTCGCTCCTCCGCCCTCCGTTGTTGTTGGAGGGCGACTGCCTCCAACTGCCCAGTAGCATCCTTCACGAGCCTCCTCCACAGAGGCCGATCTTGACACCGCTGGTACCGGTCATCGGCAAGTCCACTCAGCTCCACGTCCTCCTGTACCACATCACTCCATCTCTTCTCTAGCCCGTGCCGCGCCCGTTTAGCCCCCTCGGTCCGACCGAACAAAAGCTGTTTCGGCATGCGGTGGCTGGGCATGCGGGCTACATGACCCAGCCATCGCAGCCTTGCCTGCCGGAGGAGCTTACCGATGGGACCTTGCCCAGATCTTTCAAGGATTTGTGAGCTCCTCACACAATCCAGCCTGGTTAAACCCAGGATGGATAGTAGGAAGGCTAGCCTAAATGTTTCCAACTGGCGAAGATGTTCCATTAAGGGGGTCCACGTTTCGCAAGCGTAGAGAAGGGAGGGAATGACCGTGGCCGAGAAGACCTGAAGCTTAGTGCGGAGCGACAGACCAGGTAGCTTCCACACAGCGTTACGCAACCGATGAAAAGATATTGCCGCTCGACTGATTCGGAGACCTCTGCTGTTAAACTGGAGCCGGTCATAAGCACACTGCCCAGGTATGGGAAACTCTCCACTCTCTCCAGAACTGCCCCATCACCGATTGGGAGTTGTGGGGGTGGAGTGTCCAATGGTACAAAATACCCAGGCAGGTGCTTAGTTTTGGTGGGGCTGATGGTAAGGACCCATCTCTTAGTGGCACGCTCCAGTCTCAGCAGCAGCATCTCCAACTCATCCTCTGAATGAGCAGCTATTACCAAATCATCGGCATACATAACGTGGTTGACCAATAGGGAGCCATCCCTTGACCGCACCCGGGCATCGATCAGCCTCCCATTATATCTGTACCATATGGAGATTCCCCCCGGTACAGCTATTGAAGGCTTCACGAACTACATGGTCAAAATAGATGTTAAATAATGTGGGAGCCAGAGGACATCCCTGTCGCACCCCAAGGTGTACAGGGAATGGTTCTGACTCCCGGCCACGTAGTTTTACCCGGGCCCGCTCACCATCATGAAGGTCCTTAATGATCGTGAGCAGAGGGTCAGGTACTCCAAAAGCACGAAGAACGACCCAGAGCCCAGGCCTACTGATGGTATCATAGGCCTTGACCAGGTCAATAAAGCAGAGATGTAGGTCTTGTTGGAATTCCCTACACCTCTGCTGTAGCAGACGGACAGAAAATATGGCATCTGTGCAGGACCGCCCTTTCCTGAAACCGCATTGGGGCTCCGCAAGCCTCTCCTCAGCGTGCCTGGCAAGGCGATACTGAATAATCCTTGCCAGGACCTTTCCCGGCACACTGAGGAGTGAGATGCCCCTGTAGTTGTTACTGTCTGTGCGGTCCCCCTTCTTAAAAAGGGGGACCACCAGGGCATCCTTCCAATCCTGCGGAACCCGTCCAGTGGTCCAGACTGTTATGATGTCATATATGGCAGTCTGTGCACAAACGCCACCCTCCCTCAGCATTTCGCTTGGGAGATCATCTCTGCCCGCTGCCTTTCCTGGTCTCAGACTCCAGATCGCCTTCAGTACTTCCTCAACAGATGGCACTTCAACCAGCCACTCACAGGGGGTGACTTCTTCCAATATTTGAGGCACCGCAGCCTCAGCAGGGTCATCATCACTTTGTGCCACGATGTTTTCCTGGCTGAGGGATTTTCCCTCCTCCAGAACCTCACAGAAATGCTCAGCATATCTGCAAACCTGTTCCTGGGGGTCGGAGAATGTATTACCGTTCTTTCCCCTAATGATGATAATAGGTGTGGCTCTGCAGGTTACTTTTTAAATAGAGATTTGTGATCGCGGGCCATTGAGGCAGACTCCATCTCCTCAGCAACCCACGACCACCACCCATCCTTGCAGCGCCTCACGGCTCTCCGAACCTCCGAGCGAAGGCTGCGGTAAAGCCTTCCTCATTCTCTGACGTGGGATTCTGTAGCCGATGACTACAGCTTTTTCTCAACCATCCTGAACATCTCCTCTGTCAGCCAGGATCTCTAGGGAGGTCTGGATCGCGTACCCAAAGCAGCCATTGCAGCTGCATGAGTCACAGTCCTAAACCTCGCCCATTTACCCTCGACATCAGGAGGAGTCGGGGACGATGCCAACTCCAGCCGCAAGCGATGATGAAATTCTCGCTTGCAACTTCCATCAGCTAGCTGAGACCAGGCCACCTTAGGTTGGAATGGGGTCCTGGGTGTACACCCACCACCGGAGTGGAAGAATGGCAGGCGCATCTTACAGATGACTAGTCGATGGTCAGAGGGCAG